GTATTTTTGCATGTTACCTTCTATTCAGATTGAGACCCCCATTGTAGTCCAGTGAGAGTCCTTTAGTGTGGATATATATATGTATGGAATAGATAGCTATTGTTGAAATATCTAGGATGTATCTGCGTATCGGGTCTCTGTTTGGATTGTAGTTAGAATAGAACTTGTTCGTGAGCCTGATCCACTATTATTTTTCAGGTATCGGATGGTTCCAGTCTTAGAGCTTGTTCATACTGAACAGAGACAGTCACTCATTCTTCCGACTGCGTAGGATTGCTGTTTATATTTAGTTTTGGATTTCCTTTTTGGTTTAGTGTATTCTCAGTTAGGTTTTGAATAAGGGTCCACTAGATGGATTTCCGAGTTGTATTTGTATTGGATGTATCAAAATAGTACTTATATATAAAAATTATTCTGAGGTTTTCATTATTGGATTATCATTTTAGTTTCTTTCAGCAAATTTTATTTATTCTTGTTTATCATAATTGTATTCTGTGTTCGTTTATTGCCATTTGTTTTGGTATCCTCGGGGGTTCGGGTGTGGGCCTGGCCAACCCGTATCTAGAAATTTGGGGGTATCACAGAATCCACATCCACTAGTTAACATATATAGAGAAGGTTCTAAAGCATTTTTATATGGATAAAGCCCATCCTTTGAGCTCACCAATGGGGGTATCACAGAATCCATATCCACCAGTTAACATATATAGAGAAGGTTTTAAAGCGTTTTTATATGGATAAAGCCCATCCTTTGAGCTCACCAATGGTTGTTCGATCACTTGATGTGAAGAAAGATCCTTTTTGACCTTTAGAAGATGATGAAGAACTCCTTAATCCTAAAGTACCATATCTTAGTGCAATTGGTGCTCTTATATATCTTGCAAATTGCACATGGCCTGATGTTGGTTTTTCAGTTAACTTATTAGCAAAATACAGTTCTACACCAACTCGTAGACATTGGAATGGAGCCAAACACATATTGCGATATTTTCGTGGAACAATTGATATAGGATTGTTTTATTCAAAAGAATCAAAATCCCAGTTAATTGGATATGCAGATGCTGGTTATCGCTCTGACCCACATCAAGCTCGATCACAAACAGGGTATGTGTTTACTTGTGGTGGCATTGCTATCCATGGTGCTCTATGAAGCAGACAATGATTGCCACTTCTTCAAATCATTCTGAGATACGTACTCCCAATTCATGAGGCAAACAGGGAATGCATTTGGTTGCAATCCATAATCAACATATTAGAACAACATGTGGCCTATCATCAATAACAGATAGCCCCATAGTATTTTACGAAGATAATGTTGCATGCATTGCATAGATGAAAGAGGGTTTTATCAAAAGTGACAAGACCGAACACATCTCACCAAAATTCTTTTACGCACATGAACGTTCATGTGATGCGACAACTTAAAGATCATTAAGGCATTGCCAACCATGTCATTCAAGAAATTGATATTCAGCAAAAACGTTCATGTGAAAATTTAGCAAACCTGTTCATTAAGGCATTGCCAACCATGACATTCAAGAAATTGGTACATAACATTGTGATGCGACAACTTAAAGATCTTTGGCATTGATGAGGGGGAGTACTTAAAAAGGTATTGACATTTACTGTACTTTTCTTTTTTTCCTTCGCTCAGGTTTTGTCCCAATGGATAGTTCTAACCCATGCAATATTACTACTTTTAGACACACAAGAATATTGTACTATTTTTCCTTCGTTCAGGTTTTGTCCCAATGAATTTTCCTGACAAGATTTTAATGAGACATGTTCTTAGTGTAGTCTTGTGGACCCCAAGGAGAAATGTTATGTATGATCATCATGTAGGGTCCACACAAGATCAAGGCATATTGCAAATTGATGTGCAATTTGCAATGCAAGTTGCATTTGTAATGATGGCCCAAAAACATAACCACAAAGGACACATATGTGATTGGTCACTGAATGTGGCAGTTTATTTATATAAAGGGTTATTGGGGCATTGTATCGTGATATGTATTGTAGCTCAACAATCAATAAAGCTTTATTTCTCTACATTGCTTTCTTTTTGCATATCTATTATATCTATAACAACAAAAGGTTATTTAAATTTTCTATTCTAGTTCCCCCCTCCCCCCAGCAAATAACACAAATTTATTTTGTCCCTTTTAGTTGTAAATTCTAAGAGTGAGCACGGATCGAATTAGGTATTAAATTTTAATTTAATTTGATCCCTACGAATTGATGAAATTTGAATCCAATCCAATCGGTTACTTTACGAGTTGGATCCGATCAAATTAAACCTTTTTCCCAATTTGAATCAAATTGGTTATACAAATTCAGCTTTTTCCAAATAGTCAAATATTATTAGTTTTTAACTCTTTTCAATGGGTAGTAATAAAACATAAGTAGGTAGAGAGAAAATATTAAATATTCTGGGAGAACGATAGTTGGGGTCATCCTAGCCATTGCATGTGGTGGGACCCAACACCTATCCATGATTCAAATGCTCTCACTCTTTTAGGGTATTTATCAAAATTTAGTAAAAGTTAAAATAACAAAAGAATAATAAAAAAGAAGAAGAAATAATGTATATAATTTTATAAATTTGAATGGATAGGATCGGTTCTTTAAGACCTCATTTCGTTAATAGATCTATGAATTATGAATCTTATTAATTTGTAATCGAACTATGAAGTTAAAAAATTAATTTAATTCGTATGAAGCAGATTGTATCGGATCGGATCGATTTTATGAATTGACGGATCAATCCCGTTCCATTGACAAGAGTGCCATTAGGGCCGATAACCTTTGGCAAAAGCCTAACTAGATGCTCCATAAGTAGTTTTTGGTAGGTTCGAAGGGGAAGGACACCTTTCAAGGCTGGCAATAAGTTTGGTATTCATTTTTTCATTGTTTCAGTAGAGTATATTCATTGTTTCAGTAGAATATAGCAGCATGAATATGATTACGTGTAGATACAAAAAATCAGCATGTGAAGTTCACCAGCCGTCCGCGTGAGAAGCAGCCCATTTAAAAAATGAGAGCCACACATATATATAATTTTATTTATCTCAAATTTTAGGCAATACATTTCGTACATCTTTCAACAATGAGAATCAAATTTAATCATTGCTTTCTACCACTTAAATCATAGTTTGTTTCATCAAATACTAATCTTGGAAGTTGATTGAAACCACTCAACCATGCACGCTTTTCTAATCGTTACTATTGTTGGAAGGTACATATAGTTATTTAACTTTTTCGTGATCAGATTGCTCAACTGTCATATTCTTATTGGGTTATATTGTCATCTTCGATCTCAAGTGGCGTTGTGTTAGGTATTCTATCTATATTAAATTAATTAATAAATTGTCTTGCGGTATGTGATACTCATTTTGTTCTAGTGTTGGACTCTCATTAAAGCCTATATGGGACGACTATATAGGGTTTTGATTCAGACCATCCATATAAGCAGTGACAGAAATTTTGTAAAGAGAGGACATCATTGAAATTTTTAATAATTTCGGTGGAGGAATTTTAAAAAATTTATAAAATTTATAAGTATATAATGCAAATAAAAAAAGGCGACGGGCCCCACTGGGCACCACACATCTCATATCAGTCTATTACAGTACTATTTATAAAAAAATGATATTCAGATAAATTTATCAAAGTAAAATAATTAAGTCCATTATAACTGGAGTAGGACCTACCATTTAGTAATGGTGGATTTGATAATTACTTACTACTACTTATCCTGGAGGCGGGACATTTACTAGCCTACGAGAAAAGATAACATGTCCTGTGGTTCGTCCACCCCATACAATTTGAAGTATGTTTTTTTTAAAACAAAAAAAGTTATTATTTTATAATTCAAAATGTTAAAAAATATGAAAGATGCTAAACATAGAATATATATATATATCTATGTATATGTAAAAGAAACACTTCATTTCAGTTTTCTATAAATATTTTCATTATGTACAATTTTCCCTTATATATTTTATAAAGAATTCTGAATTTCGGTGCGTATTACAGAATACAGACTAAACAGACAGTCAAGTGTATGTAGATTAAGTTATTGGGCTGGATGGTCCGAGTTGATTAAAGCTGAGGTCTGGGATTTTGGGCTTTGACAGTTCAACAGACCGGACCAAGCTTATTCAGAAGTGACAAACATGTGGCCCAATTATGCCTCAAGCTCCAGAAAAACCATTTCTTTGTGAAAAACTCGAGGGCTTTAAACTTCAGCTACAATTGTACAATTTATATTACATTGGGCTGCGTTTTAGCCTTAAAATTGAAACTAGTAAAATAAAATAAATTAAATTTAGTTCAAAGTTATAAAAAAATTAAACTAATTTTTTTTTTTTCAATTCTATACGGCCGAACTTAAACTTAATATTTCTCTATATCCATATTTATCAATCTATATATACTATTATTAAAGTATAAGCTATTTTCATACCATTTTATATAAATAAAAATCTACTATATATTTATTCTTTGAGAATTGTACATCTTCCTCCTAATAAAACTAAAATTTTCTTCTCTCTAAGTCCTTACATCTCTTAAATTCTATTGGTCTAATATTTATTTGTATTTTTAGATATTACTAATGTTTTCAATTTTTTTTGTATCCAATATCACCAACTAATCACATATTTACAATCTATTTTAAATTTTGATGTATATTTTAACACAAATTTGTACCATTTTATTGAGATAAAAATTTAATTTATATACTAACATTTTCAAATATTTTTTTATCCAATATCACTAGCATATTTACATTTTATTTTAAATATTTATGTATATTTTTTAAAAATAATCAATCATCTATATATAATAAACTACTATTAAAAATGTGTAAATTTTTAGTTTTATATATTATTATTATTATTACTGTATTATTTTTAACTTTCACTTGTCAAAGTAAAAGGTTGAATTTTTTGACTCATAAACAGGGTTGAAGTAGGCCCACAAAAGTAGATGGGCCATTGAGGCATCGGTAGGAAACGTAAAAGAGGACTCCACAGACGAGTCGGCGTTACGATTAGCGCGAGTATTAGAAGTTAACAGATATCAGGAAAGAGAACCCCAAGAGAAGTCTTGCCCTAGCTGGTATTAGCATAGCAATGGCTTCTCTAGATACCGACGTGACGATGGTTCCTGCAGGAGAGGGTTCGAGCGGAGCCGGACCTTCTTCCACTGTTCCAGCTTCATCGGGGTCGACGAAGAAGGCTAAGCGATTCGAGATCAAGAAGTGGAACGCCGTCGCTCTCTGGGCTTGGGGTACCAAATCCAACTAATCCCTAACCCTAGCTCCTTCAATTCATACTATCTAGATTCATACATTATATAATATATATGTATATGTTTGTGTATATTGGAAGAATCATGTGATAGTTTGCTGTTTTGATTGACTGGTGGATGCAGATATTGTCGTGGATAACTGTGCGATTTGCAGGAACCATATCATGGATCTATGTGAGTTTGATCTCTTCCGTTCGTGCTTCCTTATTTATTTTATTTTATTTATTTTAATGATTTTATTATTTGATAATATATTCTGTGTATCTTTGATTAGGCATCGAGTGCCAGGCTAACCAAGCTAGTGCCACAAGCGAGGAATGCACTGTTGCGTGGGGTATGTATTTCCTCTAAAACCTTCATTGTTGGCGTTATTGTAAAACACTCTAGGGTTTATGTTTACCTCAAAGTTCTACAATAAGCATGACACACAGGCATTAAGTTTGATTGTTATTATACAAAACTTGTATTGGGAAAATAAAATTATTTAATATAATTAGTGCTTATGCATCCCAGGTAGCAGTAGAGCACACATCAAAGCAAATACTGGGAGCATATTAGAGTAGAACTTAATGGTCGTGTAGATAAAGATTGTTGAGTGTGTGATATGGTCATGGATTTAGGACTAACAAATTGTGTTAGGTCTATTCCTGCTACTATGGCTAGATTTAAATCGATGAAATGTAACTTCTTCAAAATTAGGATAATAAGAGGGGATGTGATGAAAATTAAGGTTCGCGAGTTACAAATAAAAGAACAATTTTGTTACATAGGCTCTAGTAGTACTATTATCACATATTTATAACATGAGTATGATTTAAAGTGGGTGTTGAGCTGGATGTTTAGTAAGGTGAGAACGTATTTTGTTGAAGGAAATGCTATGTTTCAAGGCTTTCTTAAAAAAAATTCAGCAAAGAGATAATGAAGCACATTTTTTCTTTTTCTTTTTTTAATTAATAAAAAAAATTGGGTGGGAGCTGATTCCATCACTTGTATCCTTTGTGGACAGTAGAAGAAGTAGCATCACTATTGATTGAGGGCTGAAGCCAGTTTCATATAATGCCCTCTTCTTTTCCTTTCTTTTCTCCTTACACGCAAATAATAATAATAATAATAACTATAATACAAAAGAAGTGATTTTCATTGTGACAAAATACAAAAAGTGAACATACTTCTGGGAAAAAAATGGCTTTTAAATTGTAGGGACATCCATTTTAAATATCACAAAAGGTAACATATTTCCATTTTGACTAATGCATATGGTTCTATAAAAAGATGAATGTAGAAAAGGATTTATGCAGCTGGATGAAATGGATGGGCTTTGGTATATCGAGCTTACCATTATCACTAATGTTTATGAAGATTTGAAGTGGTTGCACTGACAATGTTTAGGAAAATTGTTGAAGATAAAATAAGAGAAATTTGACTTATAAAAAAAAAAAAGAGAGAGAGAGAGAAATTTGACAAGGTGTTTTCTATTTTTTATTTATGTAGTAGTGAGAGCCAATAACTGCAATAGTGAGGAAGAGCAGCATTGTTTAAACTGATGGTAATGCTAGGAAAAGGAGGAGCAACATCAACATGGGTTGAGATAGGAGACAAAGATATGTTGGTGTGGTTTAATTGAAGCTATGTTCTTGGCTAAAGTATAATGACGAAAGAGGATCCATGTAGTCAATCTCGAATAGTTGGGACAAAGACTTTGTTGAGTTGAGTATGAAATATGCAAATTGATTTCCTCTTCTCCCTTCTGATTTTGTTCTGGTTCTGTGGCTATTTTCTTGTAGTAGGACAAAGACTGTTGAGTTGAGCATGAACTGATTACCCCCCTCTCTCCCCCTTCTGAATTTGTTCTGGTTCTGTGTCTATTGGGGCTATTTGCTTGTATTAGTTTGGTGTTTTCGTGCTAATATTTTAAAAAATTTTAACCGTCTGTATTTTGATTAGGCTTGGCTTGTGGTTAAGTCCTTGTTAATACTTAATTTTGCTGGATCAATTATTTAGAATTTTAGATTATTTAAACCCATTGCATGTAGTTGAAATTTTAGTGTGTAACACTCTGATTTCAACACTGTAATCTTTTACTACAATAATTGACACAACCCACACCTATATATTTTTAGTTTTTCTAAGTCAGTTTATGGGGCTATCTAGTTTAACCTTGTTGATGCCAATTTTTTCGTCCTTTTTTAAAAATAGTGTTTAAATCGCAAATCCAATGGAGGTCTTTAGATTATACCTTTTAAGGCCTTCTTAGAAAGGGATTATTTTAATTATGGGGTGAACTTATCCATAAAAAATTATTCAAGGGGGTGAAATGGTGGATAACCAAGCTAACGTAAGCTTTATGAAGGTGCTTTTTTTTTTTTTTTTTTTTTTGTTATGGGCATGGATTTAGTGACTCATGAATGATGATTTTTACAGCAGCAATTTTTAGTATTATTATTTTTTGATCTGCAGCATTACAAGCAATTGTTAACCTAACTTTTCTGGAGGCAAAAATTTTTGGTATTTGGAATAGTTTGTGGCTGAGTTATTTTGCTCCTACTGGATTTATTATGTTATGGCAGTATTTGTTTTTGGGATTATTTAATAAATGACAAATTATATATGCTATATTACAAAAGTAACCGTATTAAAAAAGAATGAGTGTATAAAGCCACTTTAACACAATATAGTACAAAAACAACTACTTTACACTAGTAATTTCGTATTTGACAAAGACTTATACATTTGAGTCCAAATTACCCTCACATTTTGCAGAATGACTTACAAACCATTCATGAACAATCACCACAAACCACAACCCACCACCCACCCAACATCAACTTCACCTCCATCCCCACCGTACATCTCTCTCTATACTCGCTTCCTCTCTATATATAATCAAAATTAAATTCTGACGAGAAGGATTTCCGACTACACTGATGTAGCCAGAAAACACAGAGAATGACCAACAAAGCAAACCCTAGAAATATACTACTTTCTAATTTCCCCAATTATCACAAAAGAATAGCAAATAAAATTGTGTTTTTTCAATAGATGATCATTGGTTGTCGACGTCTTTATTCTTCTTGGGTTAGCGATAGTTCTCCTCTAGGTGCTTGGCCATGACAAGGGCTGTTTTGGCGAGTTTCTTGATGGTGGGCACGTTGTATTTAGGGCAACATAGACCCCACAGATTGTGCCCATCATGAATAAGAAATTGTTCCTGATTGTACTCATTTCTTCGATTGGACTTTCTAATCGGCAATTCTTGGGCCAATGATCGAATTGGTTTGGGTTTTTGGTTTTGTGCAGCAGATTCGAGTGGATTGATGCGATGAATCAGATGGTTAGTGAGTCTACTTTATACACACAAAGCAATCCACCCACCCACCCAACCACAACCACAAAATTTCACCCCCACAACCACAACCACTACCAAAAACGGAGCAGAAATCAAGTGTATAAAAAACGGAGCAGAAATCAGCTGACCAAAAATGGGTCAGCTGGCTATGGCTGTGTCGTGGGCCCGTGGCAGATATTGGATCTCTTGCACAAAGCAGGTGCAGTGGTGGCGGTTCACGGTTCACCGGAGAAAAATCGTGGGGGTGGATGGTGGTGGTGATATTTATATACATATATGTGTGTGTGTGTATTTATATGCATGTATACAGAGAGAGAGAAGGGGGGGGGGGGGGGGGGGGGGGTTAGAGAGAGAGAGGAGATGGATGGAAATTTTAGAAGTAGTGAGGGCAATTTGGACCAAAAGAGTACTTTTACTTTTTTGGTAATTGCTTCTGTTTATTCGCTCTTTCACCCATATACTATTTGAATACGGTTGTATTGTAATCACTAATATAGCAAATATAAATTGTTATTTATTAAATTTTCTTTTTTTTCCCTACTTTGCCTTTTGAGGGGGAACTCTCTCTCTCTCTCTCTCTGTGGTTGGGTGGAGTGTAGTGGTGAATCGAGAGGGGGAGTGTGAAAGGATTAGTTGGGTGAAGGAATGGTATATGGAAATGAATTTGTCTGAATTTATTATTAGCCCTTGCTTGCTCCATCCTGATAGTTACTATTGTCAAGCTGTAGATCTTCAAATTTGTCCAGCGCAATTATCTATCTAACAAGTGAACTATATGTGAGCTGGTTAATAAGCTGGCATTTGTATGATCCAGTTGGCGGATTGATATTTTCGTAGTCATGAATTGTTCTAAATCATCTATATTTAGTGAAGCCAGAATGTGTTGTGTTTTTCTTAGGCTATCAAGTTGGCCAATGAAGAATATTCAAAATTTGATCTGATGCATGGACCAAAACTGATGAAGCTTTCGTAATATATCTGGATGTGCAAATTCTTTTCGGTAATATTTCATAGCGACGAAGCCCTTTTATTTTTCTCAAGTGCTTGATTTTTTGGACATCTTAAGCCAGTGTAAACCTCCCAGGGTGCCTAGAGGTTTAATGGAGTGAATTCTGCCTTGGTGTTTTAAATTGCTCATATGTTGAGGTTCAATGTATAATGACTTAGAACCATGATCCATACATAAATAAAATATTGGATGTAATAAATTTGTCTCAACTATAAGTTGTTTACAAATGATAATTGTCATTTATTCAATTTTTGAATGTTTTTCCCCTAATATGGGGGGATTAATATGCAAACAACATACTTAATGGTTAATTTGGTGATGTTTCCTGAAAATTGAACTTTCATTTAAAAGTTAAAACTTTTTCAATATCTCCAATGTAGAAGATATATTTCTTTTTCTCAGACTACATTGAATTTAATTGCCATTATACTCAGTATTTTTTTGTTTTTTCGTGGCATTGATGTTACAGTCCAATTCTTTGTTTAATTTAATGGCTGGCTGCACTGCATATCATTTTTGTCCTAACAAGGTCAGGTTCCTGTCGAAATAGGGAAAAGACGGATCATGTTCATAGAGGAATGGTTGGTTTGAAGGACCATTGGACTTCTGTGGAACTTCAGTTCCATAGCTGAGCCTTCTTAAGAATTATTTTTGGATCAGTATTTCATGAATCTTTGACTTTTTTGAAATTTGATTCTCTCTCTTCCAATACTGAATAAGATTGGTGATTGTTATCCCTTCTTAGCGTATATTTCCTCTTTGGCTTAAACAAAATCGGATTCAATTCCTGTAGGTGTTTGCAACCATGCATTCCACTTCCACTGCATCAGCCGCTGGCTCAAGACTCGTCAAGTGTGTCCATTGGGTATGTTATCTGCCCTCTGCTATTTGATATCATGCCAATTATTACTTACATTGCATGGTGATGTATTTTTCTCATTTCATTTGTGATTGTCTTGTCTGTGCAGATAACAGTGAGTGGGAGTTTCAGAAGTATGGTCACTAGAACTTTTGTGCAGTTGAATGGTTGGACCCTCTCTTTGTGCTGTGGCAATGCTTTGAAGTGGCAAATTTGAATCATTGTCTTCAAATTTCCTTTAATTTTTGCTGATGCAAATATTATCCTTGAATATTTGAATACAATTTGGGTGTGTAACAAGGATTCAACTTTGGACTTGCACCGAGTGCAATATGTGAAGCATCATGATCTTTTGTTAGGATTACATTCATTGCCTCAAATGCTCTTTTTTTCAGGCGCCTTGATTGTTAAAAGTAGGTTCTTCACAGGCGTCCTTAATGCCGCCTAGTTTAATCAAAGTAACTCTTAGAATCTTTTAGAAATGTATCTTATATGCAATTTTTCTCTGTCGACGGAACATGAATTTTGGGACAGGCAGAAGCGGAAAGAACTTTTGGATGGGGAAGAGTAATTCTATGGTTTTAGGAAAGAAACTTAGATCTATCATGGGTGTGATGTATGAATATCCTAGAGGGGTGATATGCGACTTGACTTCTTTTTTTAAAACGCTCTCTTTTTCTTTTATGAAATGTCAGCCCGGTTGCCTGTCATTCCATAACGAATGTTTAATTTTTTGGACAACGTCCTCTCTTGGTAACTCTCTGAATCTGCCAAACTGATATGCTTATCATTTTAGAACCCATCAACATGACATTGTAACAGGTTTAAATTAGTTTCATTGTTGAGATTGAGCGTTGTGTTTGTTTCTCTTATAATACATCCAAATGCTGTGTAAAAATATGCACATGAATTTTTTATTTTTTTTAGTACAAAATATACACCTGAATTTATTTAGCAGAACAGATTTTTGTCCCAAACCGTGGGACTGGTCATTTTATTAGGTTGGGATTCAAAATGTAGAAGTGAAGCCAACCAACCTTAATGGGTTTGAAGGAATCTTTGGGAATACCCTTTAGGAGTAACTGTGGCTTCCTAGAACTGTTGTCCCATGTGCAATAATACATTCAATACCCTACTTTTTTTGTATTTGTAGGACAGGGAGGATTGGCCTCAAGTCCAAATCAACCTAGTGGCTACTGCACTCTTTACTCCTTATTTCTTTATTTATTTTTTTCTAAAAATTGATGGTTTAGGGATTCTTGCTCACATATATATATTCGGGGCAAGTGACGATTGGATTCGAAAATTGTTTTGGGGGTGTTCCAACTATTGCTCAATTGAAATTTCACCCCTGAACTTGTAAATGGGTTAAAAGAAAAAAGAAAGAACAATTTGTGGAGTAGTTCTTTAAAAACGGGTTATAAAAAACCCATAAACTTCGTCGCCTGAGAGATTCGAACTCTCGCGGGGAAACCCCATGTACTTAGCAGGCACACGCCTTAACCACTCGGCCAAAGCGACGGTTGTGTTGCTATATTTATCTACTTTAGTAGTATGTTATTTTTTTTAATTTTTACCTTGGGCCAAAAAATATCACCCACACTTCCATTTTGCCCCCAAGTGAACTTGAACTTAGTAGTAGTATGTTAACTAATTTTTTCTCAACTTAACATGATTTTCTTTTCATAAGGCTAAAATTTTTTTATTTGGATTTTTCAACCTTATCTTGTATGGTGAATCTGGAATGATGTTAACGTAAATATAATAATAATCCCAGTGATAAATATATCACCTTGCATCATGAACATGCTTCTTAATTTGCTGACTTCACATGATGATGCCACTGTAACCAACAAACATTTACCACTGATCTCAAGTACTGACATGCATGCTTGAACTCATTAGCTTGACTTGTGTCCCTATTCTATTCCAACAATAATTGTTGTTTTCTTGCTTTTTTATCTCATGGATTAGAATAGAATAACAATCTATGTCTTGTGCCTCAAATTCTAAGCAAGCGTTGTCTCTGATTTATTGCCTAAAAACAAAAAGAAAGTCTATTTATCTATCGGATATATATATATATATATATATATATATATATAATGCTGATTCATCATGTATAGTTCATAGGAACAAATAATGCCCTCACCATATGGCACTGGCTTTACTAAAACAGGACAAATATTTGCGAAATAAATGGTAAGAAATCATCTATCAGTAGGAGACAGCTTCAATTATCAATGGTTTTGTTGGGTTATAACTTATAAAGAAAGAAAACATGTACTCCGTATATGCTCATCTCTTCTCCCCATGTGCACTAGTACTGTAGTTCACTTGCAAACAAGTGGATGCAGCTTTCTCATTCTTGGCACATCCTCCTAAGCTCTCTGTTCATGTCCTTTCAGTTTCATTCACCCTTACCCTACCTCCCTCCTGATGCACTATATTCAATTTTTATATGCAAACAATTTTTTTGGAAGTCATCCCCGGACGTAATTAGTGTTTTACTCCATTTCTGTAAGAGACGTGGGTCTCATAAATTAATTAAATAATTACAATGTAACTAGTTAAAAATCAATCACAAAGAGCTCGCACTCCTCTAATTGAAATGATTTTACAATTTAAAGACCTCAAAATTTATGCCCCATCTGCAAGATATTTGAGAGAGAGAGCTATAATTTTCAACCAATCACAATAGGACATCTAATATATAAATAAATAATCACAATAGGTGTTGTGATTAGTTAACATCAATCACAATGATTTTCGCACCCTAGCACTCCTCTAATTGAAATGATTTTATTATTTAATGAACTCAAAATTTATGCTCTATTTTTAAGTAGGTTTAGCCATTCCAATCAACATCCCCTTCAATACACCTATGTATTCTGGAGTGTACAAGGAGGGTGAGATCAACATCCAAGTAGTGGGTGTGACCTCAGCCCTTGCACCATGGATTGATCCTCTCCTAATGAATGTCGAAGATAAAGGTCACTAAATAGGATTTTAACTCCCGCCATTAATCAACCTCACAACCACTCTAAGCTCATTGGACTGCACCATATATATCATCAATCTTATCATACATACTTATACTATATATATATATATATATAGCCAGCCCATAAGGATGGGGTAGGTAGAATAGAATCCACTGAAACCAGAAAAGTGAGAGAAAAGAAAAGGTTGGGATTGAATAGGACTACATTATATAACTTTGGGAAGCTAATAATCCTGTAATTTGAGTGTGTGTAGGGTCATAAAATGAATTTAAAAGTAAAGGCATTACTGCAAGTGAGTGAACCACCTTCATTGCTTGTCCACCACTAATGGAGCCTCCGTAAGCGATCACAAGTTACGAACATGGAGAATGGAATACAGATTTAGTGCACAAATAGGTAGAGAGAGATGGGCCACTAATTCAATTATTAATTTTCATCGCATAGACTTTTGAACTTGCTTTCTCATTGTGCCCTTTTCTTTTTATAATTGCCTGGCTAGTCTAATAGTTGATGATGTAATCTCCAGCTTTAGATTTTATTTTTTATTTTTCAAGTTACACAACCAACAATAGTTGTCTCTGCACTTCACATTATCCAGAAATAACTTTGACGCAACTTAATAATAGAATGATAAGTGTCTATTTAAATTTTAAGTATAAAACGTCTTACAAAGTTGAAAGATCAATAATTGGAGTGATTAATTTTTCATCAATCATTGTGATTTTTATTTTTATTTTACAATTGTTGTTATTAGTTGAAAACGGAAAAACAGTCACAACACAGAGAGTGTTAAAATTTTAGTTTTGTAACTTTTGTTAATATATTGGAAATTTCAAAAACAACACATGTAATTGTGTCACTTTTTTTCACCTATTATAAGTTATAGTTGGGCGAAAACCAATCACAGCAGCGAGTATTCAAGATATCTTGAATGTTAAAAATTTTAGTTTTGCAACTTTTGTCAATAACACATGAAATTTGAAACTTTTAATATTTCATTTTAGAAGGTGAGTATATACCTTATCTCTAATTTCAATTCAAATTAAAAGCCAGGTACTTCGCTCGATTCAAAAGTTTTAGATGCTAGGTAAAATTAATACTCACTTTATTTATATCCCATTCATCTTCTCCATCTGGATGAGATGTGAGACAAATCTCTCTTATAATATTCTTTTCCAGCCGAACCCGTAACCAATACCCAATCCATTTAATAAATATTTAATTTCTTATTGAAATTTGTATTTTTTTTTATCTCAATTGCTTAAACTCGCAACGCCCTTACTGCAGCCTACTTATCTCTCACTTAAATCCTTCAAACCGAATAATTGGTGTGACACTGTATGAATTCAACTCTGATACTAAAGGTAAGCAGTTGAATTTCGCGATTTGACCTAAAAAAAAATTTATTTGTAACAACACTATGATACAAACAGCAGGAAAAGTATTATGGTGGAACCAAACAGCAAGGAAAAAGTGTGATGATTAGGTAAGCGTGCGGTACTTCCAAGTGATGAGAGCGAGAGATTGTAGGCTGGAATAGCGCCACCATTTGCGGTTATAAATGGTGGGCCCAGGCTACAGTGACTATACTACAAGACACAAACTGTTGGAAACTCCACGCGCCGCCACTATATAAAAACTGACTGCCAAAGGGACTATTATAATACACGCGCGGCCGCCGCATCGGAATAAGGTAGAACCTGCATGGAAGGCACTTGTACTTCGGAAAATACGGCTACTTTTACAGGTGATGACGAAGTTGCGTTTGGATTTCATCATTCAGTTTCAGTCAAAAATAGTGACTCCATACTTCGTCATTTCAAAAAATTTAGCCGTTACATATATCGATAACTTCCAACTTTTTCAGCAAAAAGAAAGCTGCGAGCCCCACGCGCTTCTTGCATTTTCAAAAAAGCTAACTTCCTTGTTGGCTGTTGCATCATAAGTCTATGCCTTTTGATTTCGAAATATTTACCGGTAATGCCACCACCTGACATGGACGCTCACGAATTTGCCGATACATGACGAATTCCCTCCAACAATTTCTCAGGTGCAGAAAATGACGCGTTTTGGGTGTGTGCGTGTGTGTGGGGTGGGGTGGGGGGTTTTGTAATTTTAAGAGAGGTAATATTAAAATTTTATAAATGTATAAATCAACAATAAATAATTAAATAAATAAAACCACTATTAAATGCACACTACTCGAGAACACTACAGTATAATATTTATTTAAATTGAATTATGTATGAAATCAAATATAATAATTAATTATTTAAATAATGACGTCACATTTTTTATTATTCAATAAAGGTTTAGAGATGCATGGAGAAAAATGTCTTTAAAAAAATTCAACTAGAAT